TTAGAGAGGGGCAAACGAGCATACGATTCACCTGATGGTAAGTGATTACCACCGCCCATGAACAGCTGCAACACCAGGGGATTGCAGATGCGTTGCCGGCCTTTCAAAAAGGAATAGGCTCTTTTCTTGAAGGTCCCTAAGTGGTATCGTTGAATGAAAATGCAGATGCGTTGTCGCACGTGAGGACTAAGATGGAATGCCTCGTTTCCTGTAAAAAGGTCTCCGGTTCTCTACTCTACCTACTCACCATACGAAACACAGCAGCGTTATATATATTCTACGTTAGTATTTTGTGAGAGCGTGGTCCTCCCCCGATCGAGCCAATCCATTCGTGCTATAACTATAAAATAAATGCAGCGTGGCTCCACCACCTGTATGCACCACACAGCGAAATAATTATATAAGTAATGATAATTTATATATTAGAAGAGAATGAAATCTGTTTACGATCTAGTTTCTTGACTGCTGTTAGCGGCAATTAAAGAAATATAAAATATAAATAAATTTAAATGATAAGAATAAGGGGACACTAATGATCGTATGATGTTTTATTTATATATTAATACGAGTATAATTGAAGGTTCTTTTTATTGGTTTCTTGTTTTAGATCAAACACAACAGTGTACCGTTCCAGAAAATATGGCATATATGTAAAGTAAAAAATTACAGCAGTTAAGTTTAGTTACTCGTCAAGCCGTTACTGAAATTGTAAGTCCTAAAATGATGGTTTAAAGTGCTACTGCATAAATGTACTCCATTATTATTGGGTACCATCACGTCCACGTCGTGCCCACGAAGTAATATTTCTCTCTCTCTCTCTCTCTCTCTGGCTAACCCTCTCCCTGTCTAACCCTCTCCCTTTCTCTGTCTCTCTCTCCCTCAGACTCTGGCGACTAAAAAATGCCTTCATTGTTCATCCACTATAAATATGGATCCACTATAACAATGGAGAAGGATTTTCCGTTCAATAATACCTACTGTACCGTACATAACACCTAATAATCAACGGGCAATGCTCTAGAAACATCCATTCAAAATCCTCAACCCAGATCCCACAGGTGGATATAGTAATTCTTAGTATAGTTTTGCAACAGAACGGAGTCTGTGCTCACCATTCTATCTTCCCAGTATCGTTTGTATATTCCTTTTAAATTTTAAAACAAAATAAGTAGGATTTGGAAATATAATGATATTATTAAAAATTTCTTCATAAGGTCCTTGTTGCGGAGGCGTAAACGAATTCACTACCCCACAACATCCTATGGGTGTCGTAAAAGTCGACCGAAGGTAATAAAACAAGAGAAGTGCAGCAATCTAGATAGTACGAATAATAAAATATAGACGGTTTAGAACCCACCTGCCAAGCATGACATTTATTTCAGGTATTCCACATATGAGGCAATCTATGGAGTTGATCTAAGTTCAGTAGTGGATCTTTTTATCTGGATTTTGAAAAAAGCAATCATTTTCATAATTTGCCTAAAAAATTTGTGCATCATCTTGAATTGCAGCTCTACTCATCTTTATGTAGATTAAAGTAAGAAAGTTAAAGTTACAGCATATATACGTCCCACAGCTGGGCACAGGCCTCCCCTCATTTCTGAGAGGGTTTTAGGGCAAGGAAATGTCCGCCGCGGTGGCCCAATGCGTGTTGGCGAACTTCACATGTCTTCGAAATATTTTTTTTCTTATTCCTCAGACGTGCAGGTTTTCTCACGATGTTTTTCTTCACTGCCGAGCACGTGGTAAGTCAGCACTTAAAATTGCAATTAACAATTTCATTGGTGCCGGCGGGAATCGAACCCAGTTTGCTTGCTTATTGTCAAATTGACAGCGAGCGTTAACCATCTTAGCTACCACGGCTCTCTCTTGAATACCTAATAATATTTAATATGTTAATATTTATTTTATATTATAAAATATCTTACAAAAGTCATTTTACGAAGTAACTTAATGAGATTTTTTTTAGTTCCGTTATGCAAGTGACGATGTTTTGAAAGTGAGTACTATTATATTTACAGCGAGCGTTAACCATCTGAGCTACCACGGATTTTATGTAGATTAGCAGTCAAAAATTCGTTCAGAGCCTTAAGAATAGTACTTAATTTAAATTTTGTATTAAGACGTAATAGACGAGTTGGTCGCGTATCGTATTGAAACTAACCGCACCGAAATCGCTGTGGCAATGGGCAAGGGTTTTGAGATTTGCATGGTTCAAAAGTCACCAGAGAATAGCAAATTTCGAAGGAATTAATCACCTTGGAAACGTTTAGTAAGTGGAGAACTTAAGAAATATTTGCTAAAATTTAAAAATGTGGAGTTATATAGTTATATTAATACGCTGCTGAATCCATAAATAATATGTACCTCTTAATACTTATATTAACTGTTATTATAAGCTTTTTAAATGTATTTTCCTTAAAATATGTACTAAAAGTTTTGTATTTTTATCATCACCATTACAGCCCTTCACAAGTCCACTATTGAAAATAGGCCGCTCCAAAGGAATGCCACAAAAAAAATGGATCCATCGACTGCACCTGTACCTGTTAATCCATCTAGTGAGGGAAAGCCCTACGCTTCGCAGTACGAGGCTGCCACTCTAGAATCTTTCCAATCGGTTGTCCATTCTTTAGAAGATAAAAATAATTTTTTAAAAACGTTTAAATTTTTTTATAACTTATATAAATTTTTGAATATAGGTTTAAGATTAAACAGACTGTAGCGTAATGAAGATTATAACAAACCTTTTAAAGAATTCAGAGGATGAATGGCTTATGAAAACAGTAAGTAGATCAAAACAAATCCCGAGTAATTTAATTTTGGATATATTACTATCCTCCTACGTAAGTTTTTATATACAGAAAACAAAAAGAAAAGTTATGGTCTTTAAGCGTAACGTAGTTGCACAAGTCTCCTCTCGTTTATGCAGAAGCGGATTTATTTCTTCCTAACAATCATCATCATCATCATTACAGCCCTTCACAAGTCCACTGCTGAACATAGGCCTCCCCCAAATAATGCCACAAAGCACGGTCCTGAGCCACCTGCATCCATCGACTTCCTGCATGTCTTACCAGGTCGTCACTCTATCTAGTGGGGGGTCGCCCTACACTACGCCTACCGGTACGAGGCTGCCACTCGAGAACCTTTCTTCCCCATCGGTTATCGGTTCCTCGAGCTATATGGCCGGCCCATTGCCACTTCAGCTTACTAATCCGTTGGGCTATGTCGGTCACTCTGGTTTCACTGCGGATATCCTCATTTCTGAGTATATTACGCAGTGAAACTCCGAGCACAGCCCTATCCATAGCTCACTGAGCGACCTTAAGCGTCCTCATACGGCCAGCGGTGAAGGACCACGTCTCAGATCCGTAAGTCATCAACATCAAGTCAGTGGCAACACGCACTGGTTGTACACTATAGTTTTCAGAGATTGAGGTATACCTGATGAGAAGATGTGTCGTAATGCCTAACAATCATGCTCACCTATTATATAGTTAACTGTACATAGTAGCTAATTACGAAATAAAGTGATAGAACAACAGTTATGTCCTTTTACCGTTATAGCTTATCAAAGTCCATTGCTAAACATAGACTTTTCCCATAGATTGCACTGCTGAAAATTGGTCATTCCCATTGATTTCTTCATATTGGGGATACTTTCCACGCTTGCATGCCCCCCCCTACCCTTAACCTCTACGTTTTGTTAAGAAGACGCTTTTGCTCATCTTTTGATTTGTTTCCCTCTGTTGCTTCTTTTGACACCATTAGTACGATAAGGGGGCGGTGGATGATACCCTTACACTGCCACCTTACGGACAAATCTATAAAAAATTCTGATTTGTTTTATTTGAAAGCAATTTATCCACTATAAATATTAGGAGGAGTGTGGAAATGGGGCTTCGTAAATTCTCCAAGCCCCACTTCATCTCCATGTGGTGTGATTGTCGTAGTTAAAGTGACTACGACAGCGGTGACAACTTTAGAATATAATCGGAAACTATTAAATATGAAGGACTAATTGTAGTTCCACCAAGTCCTCACCTTAACCCATTCATAATCCTTAACATCGCAGAGATACGCTGCAGCATAACATGGTTGCAGCACGAATGTGTCAGCTCAGCCGTCAAAAAATCACGCTCATTCAGAACACCAGATTAATTTTGCTGTGTTATGTATGGTGAGTGATGAGACCTGAAAGAATTCGTTCTGGTAAAGAGCCATTTCATTTTAGTCCTCAGGGATTTGTGTATTTTAATTGAGGGTAGATTAGGTTTCTCTGGATCCCAGGATTAACTTAAATACAATCACTGGTTGGACTACGTGCTCGTTAGAAAAATATTAAGAGAACATGTGAAGTCTGACAACGGGAATTGGTGCAGAACAGCTAATGGTTCCGTAACCCTCACAGAAATAGAAAGAAGCTTATGCTTAGCAATTGAAAATTTATAGATTATTTTTTTAAACAGAATAAGGGTGTCAAACGACCACACCATCCACCTGGTGGAAAGTGGATACTGTTGCCCATATATACCTTCATTTATCCTCGATTAAGAATCGAAGTGATGATTCGCTACCACTTCTAAAGGAAAAAAATAGAATGCTTCGTTGCCAGTAAAAACACTCATTGCACCTGTATTAAGCTAATTTACGACGGTATTCTGTGAGAGCGCGGCCCTACCCCGGTGAAACCAATCCATTCGTGCTATAACCATATTGTAGCTGCAATATGGGTTTTGCCACTTTAAAAGTTAGGTTATAAGTTTAAATCACTTTAAATAAAAAGTTCTTGATGGCTCTATAAATTTTACAACCTTCAGTCCAAGATATCGTCTGAACATTTCCCTTAGATAAAAAAGTTGGCCAAGTAAATAAAGGAAATTCAGGGTGTTTGGTTTGGTTACGCAATCACCGCCCGACCTCGACGTTAATACAAACATTCTTATTTATTTTAGACGGCTTCGATAAATGATATCAATCCAATTGTTGACAGAATAATGGAAGATGAGTCTGTAGAAGGAGTTGTAATGACGAATAAAGAAGGTAATCTTTTTTAAATTTCCATTACTTATTCTTACAAAGTTGAAACGAATCAAATAAATTTAAAAAGCATTGATAGAATATATAGTTTTATGAGGTAATAATATTAATTACTGCTTATTGTTGTAATCCGTTATCCATCACCCTATCGCGGCTAGTGGGTGTTTTTAGTAATGAAGTGTCAAACAAACTTGCAGTTCACCTAGTACAGTCAACTGGGCTATTACAATCCGTGAACATCTGCAACCGATCTCAATAAAGAAAGCTGTAGATACTTTATCACCGAACTAAGATGGAATGGCTTACAGTCAGTAGTTATACTGGCTCTCTTTAACCTTCAAACCGGGACAAAATAGTTCATGCACGTATGCTACGGCGGCAGGTGAAAGTAAGAAGGTAATACTGACCCATAAAAGATTCAAGGCTGAATAGGTGTCCTACCACCTAGTAAGATACGAGACTAAAGGATGCCAAAAAGCTTATGACCTTCAATGTACTTATAATAGATTTGAAAATATCCAGACTTACTACGAGATGCAGCGAAAAATTTCAGTATTCTTTCTTCCTTTATTATTTCAAAAACGTTATCTTTACACCAGGATTTTCTTCTGTACCGTGGGCAGTTCAAATACATAAAATTGACAAGGACAACCATACGCCACAACGCCACAGAGCAGTCAATTGTCAATTAATTTTCTAAATATAGCATTACAACTGGGAAGCTGATCAAAAGAAAGTGAATAGATAGATAAACCTACAGACAAAATTATATTTTTAGACTATGGAAGATATTTAGTCAATGTAGTTTTTCAAGGTTTAAATCAAACATTTTTTAAGGTGCTCCAATACTAACGAATATAAACTTGATGGGTGCAGCGAACTATGGAATTGCCATGCAAAAATTAGGATCTATGGCACAGGCGTGTGTTAAAGAACTAGTAAGTTAAATATACTGTTCTTCTTCTCCTTTAAGAGCCATTATAATAAGAATATCTGGGTTGCAGAATTTTTAAAAGTGGGTTATTTACGATCTAGTGTTATCACGCTTTGCTTAATTGACCCAGCTAGACAAACGGGGAATATAATTGCAATTCGGACTGTTCACAGTTATGACAAGACAAAATCATTATTCCGTATTCCCGTCTTTCCTCCTCCAAAACTGGACTGATTTCATTATTTTCAACAAAATATAAAGTGGCGGCGAACGTGTACATACGTCAGTGTATCCATATTGTCCAATGGGTGTCCTCAGAGGCGACATAGATAAATAAATGAAGAGATGGACAACAGCGTTGTCTGATAATAATTCAAACTTATATGGAGCTGCGGTTGCCAACCAGCCGACCAAGCGCGGCAACTATGGCCAAATCTACTCTACAAGACAACCTATTGGTGGGCCTTTTCTAGGTTGTAATGGATGGATGGACTACAAGAAGGATTGTGACTATGGTCTGTATGTTTTTCTTTAATTTATAATTTACATTAAATTTTATTGCTGAAATCGTTGATATACTCGTATTACTAGGCAATCTGGTAATTTTAAAAGGGTCCCTAGATCAAAGAATAATTATTTTCTCGAAAATCAAAGGACATGGTAGTGTAAAATTAAAATTGTATCGCTAAACTTTATTTACTCTAATGTCTTCATTCGGAGAGAAAACATAGGAATATGTAAGTTTTTATGGCCTAATAGCTTTTTAAGCAGTCGCATAAAACACTAATTAAGTCTTATCTATATATTATGGTAGTCTTTAATCTATCAGCCATTTTTACAATGCTTACTTTAGTATTTACCAACTTTTACCCTTTATTGCATTCTTTTTTTGAAAAAGGACAAAGTTCATGGCAGCATTCGCGTTCATTATTTTACTTACCAGTCAGCAATCGGTTTTGTAATTGTAATTGTTTTAATCGGAAGTTTTAAACGAAGTCCAGTTTTTCATATTAAAGCATCGAATGTTTTGGATAAGATTTTTGTAAAAACAATGGTCATACTTCCTTTTCTCAATTAAAAACAAGATTTAGACGCTAAGTCACCCTTGAGGACTAAAATAGAACGGCTGTGTATCACTAAAATTCCCAGTTTTCTGTTCTTACCTTGCATAAACTTCTTACACCTGTCGAAAGTCTTTGAACCTGCTATCGTATCACATTCTTTGGAAAAAACTTTCCCCGAACTTAACCCGATTTCCTGGCTATCTGTCATCCGCTATTGGTACAATTATCAAACCAATCATGTAAAATGGGCAGATAAGCTTTCTGAACCGTAAGAGTTGAAATGTGGCGTAAGACAAGGTGGAATTAATTTACCTCAACTTTTTAACTTATATATAAATGAGCTGCTCGAGACACTCAGCAGCACTCAGGTCAGTTGCCATGTGGATGGAAAATGTATAAGTTACTCTGACGACATTGTGTTGCTGAGGAAGCTTTCTGAGCGCCTATAAGTCAGCGCGCTCAGAAAGCTTCTGGGAGTCTGCGAGGATTGCACAAGTGAACAGGGTCTTATTTATAATATAAATAAAAAGTGATTTTGTGTTGTTTAAAGCTAATAATATGAATCCCACGCATATACTACCTATCAGACTCTACAACACTGTTTACAGTATCACATCAAATACTTAACACAACAGACAGAATTTGCGTGACGAAATAAACATGGAGCTCCCTCCGTAGGGTTTTAACGACTCAAAGTAAAATGTTGGCCCGTAGGTTTGCGCGAAGCAGTAGTGATGTTAAATATCTCTTTGTAAGGCATACTGCCAGTCTTTCTATTCGTGCTCCCTATGGGTCAACTACACACAAAGGGCGTATAAAGCAATAAGGGTGCAATATAATAATGCACTTAGAGTTCATTTGGGGCCGACCTGCTTCTGCAACGCTTGAGAAATATTCTGCGAGGCCCGCACTGACGGATTTGACGCGATAATGCTTAAAAGAGCCGCATCACTACTAAGCAGAAAAAGGAACAGTGCCGACTGCATTTTTGAGGTTAAAGTACAAAAAAATGGTTGTCCTATAATAAAGCAAACTGTTAAGGTCCGTTTTGGCTGACCTTTTTTTATAGAAGAGGGGGGCAGACGAGCATGTGGGTCACCTAATGGTAAGTTTCTACCGCCGCCCATGAACAACCGTAACACCAGAGGAATTACAGATGCGTTGCCGGCCTTTTAGAAAGGAGTGAGCTCTTTTCTTGACTTACCTGTGAATGTGTTATTTCCATCGTTTCAACCTGCATCGTCCACCTATCCGTATGTTTATTAATATTTTGTCAACTTCTTGTCTGATATGGATTTCATTTGTTAACCGAAATAAAGTTTTATTTATTTATAAACTCATCGGTATTATTATATTATTTTACGTCGGTATTTTTTTTCTATGTCTAGAACAGGTAACTGAAATGGTATACTTGGGGAGTGCTTTCAGCCGGGATGGAAGATGTGATTTGGATGTGGACAGGCGTGTCGCTGCCGGAAACAAAGTCTATGGTGCCCTGAATGCGTTAGTCAAAAAGGCAAGGCGTAGTGAAGAGTACACGCCTTGCAATACATAACGCAGTGTTGGTGCCGACTTTGTTATATGGCAGCGAAACCTGGGTATGCCAGAAGAAGCATAAAAGAAAGTTGAATGCAGTGGAGATGCGATCTCTTCGTAAAATGTGCGGCGTTACCTTAACCGACCGAAAGCGAAACGAAGAGATTCGCAATATGGCAGGACTGAAAGATGACCTTATCACAAAAATTGATAGGGGCGTACTCCGATGGTTTGGGCACGTTGAGCGAATGAGTGAAGACCGAATGGTGAAGAAAATGTATAGCGCGAAAGTAAATATTAAAAGGTGTCGAGGTAGACCGAGACTAACTTTCGAAGACCATGTGAGCAAATTACTCGAAGAGGGGAAGGTCAAGAGTACTCGGATACCTAGACGTGCATGTATGAAGAAGTTAATGAATATGAAAGAAGCGAAAGAGGTATGTAATGATCGTGACTCTTGGCGATCTGTTCTCTCTGGCTATCCCGTTAGGGATTGTGCGTGAAGATAAGTAAGTAAGTATTTTTTTCTTTCATTACCTGCCATTGTACTTATGGTACTTCCTCATTCGCTTGTCCCTTTAGTTGCGGGTTTAACGGATCGTGCCATGCTATCTTAATCTAATCTTAATTAAGCGCCAATCACGTGGTAAGTTACAACTTGAGCTACAATTAACAATTAATTTTTGGCTGGGGAAGATAAAACTCTGAATGCTTGCCAAATTTTCAGCACCTATGTTAATAATTGAAAATTATTTAGGAAATATAAAACAGTAGTTTTTTTTTAAATATAATAAAGGTAACAAACGGACTTACAGTCCCTTTGTAGTTTTTTTTAAATATAATAAAGGTGACAAACGGACTTACAGTCCCTTTGTAGTTTTTTTAAAAATATAATAAAGGTGATAAACGGACTTACAGTCCCTTTGTAGTTTATTTTTAAATATAATAAAGGTAACAAAGGCCTTACAGTCCTTTTGTAGTTTTTTTTAAATATGATAAAGGTGACAAACGGACTTACAGTCCCTTTGTAGTTTTTTTAAATATAATAAAGGTGACAAACGGACTTACAGTCCTTTTGTAGATTTTTTTAAATATAATAAAGGTGACAAACGGACTTACAGTCCTTTTGTAGTTTTTTTTTAAAAAATGATAAAGGTAACAAAGGCCTTACAGTCCTTTTGTAGTTTTTTTTTTAAATATAATAAAGATGACAAACGGACTTACAGTCCTTTTGTAGTTTTTTTTAAATATAATAAGTGTAAAAAACGGACTTACAGTCTCTTTGTAGTTTTTTTTTAAATATAATAAAGCTGACAAACGGACTTACAGTCCCTTTGTTGTTTTTTAAATATAATAAACGTGACAAACGGACTTACAGTCCTTTTGTAGTTTTTTTAAATATAATAAAGGTAACAAAGGGACTTACGGAGTCCACCTTATATGGATGCTGAAGTGCATAGTCATCTACATCTATGAGTATTCTCGATTATAAAAATAGAAAAACTTTTTCACCCCTGAGGACTAAATAACTTGTTTCCGGTAAAAAGGGTCTCCGGTTCTCTAAACTCACCATATGAAATACAGTAGCACTTAGCTCCTATTTCACGCTGGTGTTCTGTGAGTCCGTCGTCCTTCCGCGGTCTAGCAGATATATTTGTGCTACAAACTAACTGTTAGTTAAAATAGTTTAACTGCAGCATGTCTCTAACATGTATAAATAATATTTCAGGATCTCTTTGACGAAGTTATAATAATGAGGACGGACACGCGCAAATTCGAAATCATGTTGGCACCCCATCCTGAATTCAATATCGTAGTATTGCAGCGCTCAAGAATCAAATCGAAACCAAAGAAATAATCCTGTGAAGATTGACCATCAGTTACAAAAGTAGCTTAGTAAATTGTTTTAAATTAAGTTTTAGAAATATTAAATCTTAGTATTTTCCGAAAATCGAAAGGGTATTTTGTGATATTTGAAAGGGCTTGTTGTCATCAAAGCTATGTTTTTGTAATTCGCTAAGTAGGATTTCTTTTTATATAGAATTAATAAATAACAAAAATTAATAAATTAAAAAATATACAAAATTAGTAAATTCTTTTTTGCTTATATTTGAGATTTACAGCTTCTCAGGAAATAACCGTTATTTCCTATCATGGATAAGTATCATCCCTCCTCCGATTTGGATTGATTGTTCAAGAAAAATCCGTTTATGCGGACAAAGCATTTTAAATCCAAAAAAAATAATAATGCGTAAGAGCATTTTGTAGTGTTGCCCCTTTTATTTTTATTATTTATTTCATTTTACAGTTTTAACAAATTTATAATTTAAAATTGTAACTCAACTATAATAATTTGTGAAAGTAATAAAGTGTGTGTATATAACATCTCAGCCTGATGGTTACTCGAGTTCAGTGCTTTTTCCCCATTCCATAAGTGCCCACCATGCCTTAATAGCTTTTTCACTTCAAAAAAGAAAAAAGATCATACAGTCGAATTGAGAACCTCTCCCATTTGTTTAATTCAAGACAGATAATATAGTGAAAACTATTGGTGCGACGTGCTTTGTGACATTCCTTGGAGTTGGTCTATACCTGGCCTATGCTCAGCAGTGAACTTGTGAAAGGATATAATGATGCCCATAACATCCATTAACCTGCTTCATCGTAATATCTTCTTGTAACAAAATAAAAAAAAATTAAGTAGTCTTCTTTGCTGATACATTATTTTTAACATAAATCTATTTTTAATATAAAAATAATTTATGCTGTTCATAAAAATATTTTTTAACATAGATGATTGTTTTAAATTAACAATAATTTGGCGTATCGGATTTTCCAGTTTAGTGGTCAACTTGTTCTGTGAAACATAGGCCTCTTCCAGCTCTTTCCATTTTTCTCTGTTGTTAGCTTTTCTTGACCAGATTGTCCCTCCAATAATTTTGATATCGCCTGTCCATCTTATTGCTTGTCTGCCTTTTTTGCGTTGTGCTGTTCATCGCCATTTCAACTGTCTAATTTTCTTTAGTATGTCTTTCACCTTTGTTGTAGACCTAATATCGACCCTTTAAGTAACAAATGTTGTAAAAACCAAAACGCCATTTTACATGTCAGTTTGAGTTTATTTTCTGCATATTATTCAAATACTTATGTTTAGTCAGTCAGTTTAAATAGTTCCAGAAACAGTATGGCTACTATAACAACAATAAAAAGTTGTAATTGGTTTCAACGATAAAGTTTTCTAACTTTACAACTGTAGCATTTGGTGTTAAAGTATTAAGCAATGATTTATTGATGGGAATTTTGTATTAAAAGACAAATGTTATACCACCACAATAATTTTCATGGAAAATGTTGTCAAGAGGAGACCATATGGCTCGCACTGTCAAAAAGTTATCAGATCTCATGCAGAGCCAAGCTTCTTACTCCACAAATCCTCACTTCACACTTTAGTCAAAATATATGGCTAGTTTCACTACCGTCACAGGGGCGTAAGGTGAAAAATTTATTCACTGTTCTTAATTTAATTTATTAATTAATTGTTAGTTATTTCCATATAATACAAATAAATTTTGCCATCCTTATGACGCAAGTACACTTAGTCGTTTGTCCGTATTCGATTGCCTATGGAATTCGGACATACGACTAAGTGTAAATAAATGGAGTCGAGTAAGCCCACCTTCGTTTTGGTTACCCGAATCAAGATACTCGACGCGGTCACTCAGACACGTGCCTCACCGAACGCGGGCGCAGAGTCGTTTGGCCGTATTCGAGATAAAGAATGTAATGTAAATAATGATTTGGGTGCCCGAATTCGAGTAACGTCTTTCGAGCACCTGAAAGTGGGCTAACGACCAAGTATAATTGTGCCTTTATGAGCGAGTTTTCTTCTCCAAATTTATATGCAACCCTTGAAGACAACCTATTTATAAAAAAAAGGATCTTCAAAATCAAGTCTCAATTGATACAAAAAAGACATACAATCGAAATTTGAATTAAAAAATTTAAAATAACAATAATTTCCACTACACACACACAATTAACAATAATTTTCACTAAGGCCCATCACACGTCCGCTATTGAACATAGGCCTTTTCTAGCCTGCGAGTTTCATTGTGGGCAAGTGGATGTTGCCCAACATTGCGCTTTTCAGCTGTGTCACTACTCGAGTGACTTTTATCCCCATGAGTTGTCTGTTCTCCGAGCTATATAGCCGGCCCTTTGCCACTTTAGCTAACTGATCCGCTGGGATATCCGACAGTAGATAATCAAATACCATTTTTAGTAAAAGAGGCATTCCATGTTATCCCTTATAGCTGACAACACTTCTGCATCTTGATTATTCACCGAAATAAAGTTAGATGTCTATAGGTCATAGCATTCACTTACCATCAGGTAGACTGCGAACTTCCTTGCCACCCTTATTCCATAAAAAATATGTAATATCATTATTCGAGTGTTGCGAAACAAGAGGCTGACGAAAAAATATAATCAAGTTTATAAACTTATAGTAAACTTCCATTATTTCTAAGAATATACCTCAATTAGGACAACTCTCTTTCCAGGTTCTCTAGCTGAACTGCAGAGCACCTTTTTCAAGGTGACACTACACCCGAAACCTCTTTGTTCAAAGTTATTTGCAGGCGAACATATTGTACAGGCCGCTTATCGTCAGTTTGTCATTTTGATAGTAATTGGCTTTTGCAAACAAGTTAATTTGTAATAATACTAGTTTTTACGGAATTTATCGCATAAAGGTACTTAACTTTTTAAATACCCGACGTTTCGAACGCTTTACAGCACTCATGGTCACGGGCGGGACTGTTCGAAACGTCGGTATTTAAAAAGTTAAATATACGCGATAAATTCCGTAAAAACTAGTATTATTTCAATGTGTAGTGTTCGCGTAAATATAAGAAATCATTAAGTTAATTTGTTTCTCGTTTAAATATCGGAAGACTGATTCAATACTTTTGGAAGTTAATTATAATATACAAAGTTTCAATAGAATTAAATATTGCGATAAATATAATGTATTGACAATATTCGGGACTTACTCTTCGAGCGTGGCTATTATACAAATTTATTGAAATAGGAGGCACTGAAATTATTCCGGATTAACTGAACCTTATTTTCAGCTAAAACGCAATTTTAGCTAAAATTTTTGTACTTAGAAATATTATGTTTAACTGAGAGTATGATTATCATATAATCGATAGCGGCAGTCGAATAACTAAAGTGGTAGAGAAACAGTGCATTCCATCTTAGTCCTCAGGGGTGACAACGCATCTGCATTTTGATTCTTAATCGAGGATAAATGTAGATTTCTATTGGTCACAGCATCTGTTGACCATCAGATAGATCGTGGGCTGTTTTGTCACCCTTCTTTTGTAAAACAAAACGTTATATTTTTATAGTTTTTACTGAAATTCGAATGTTTGGATAATATGAAATTTTGTTGTCGTATTAAGAACTTATGGAAATATTATATATTTTTTACTATTCCCTTGTATATTGACGGATCATTCCTATGAATGAAAGGACCTGAGGCCAGCGGGTTTGAATCGGGGTCATTTCGTTGATACGTACCAAATCCACCCTAGGGTGGATACTGGGAAACGTGTGCGTGTGCGTTTATCTATTCCAGACGGGGTGAGTAATCGGAATTCACTTTTTTACTGTTGTTTCGCCTTTTAACCCCAATTACTGTTCAACAGAAAATGTGTGCATACTTTAATATATTATTGTTTTGTAAATGAAATAACGATTTAATTTTTTTTTAAAAAACAATTATCACAAACAAACTTTTAATCAAATAATTTCAAAACAAAACTGGGCATAGGCTATTTTCTAATAATTAAATGCAAATTTAAAAATAAAACGAAAAATGTCGGTCACGAAATCAATCACTATCAACACGATGTGTACGCGTCGACGGCTCTCGGGCCAAATGGGCATGTCGCTGGGTGGCGCTGCCTTTTATAGGGGCAGATTTGTTTTCATATCTTCTCCTCCAATACGGCCTCTCCTGACAGGAGACCGTCCCCGGGCTCCTTTGATCCTTTATTCATTCCAGCAGAGGCATGGAAGGTCCCGGTCCTGCTGGCATAGGAACGTGGGGCGGCAACATCTCAGGCTCGACGTGAAGTGATGACGTCTCTGGCTCGACGTGAGGTGGTGACGTCATGGGCTCGACGTGAAGCTCTGATGCATCAACAGCAGCACTCCTCGGCTGCTGCACCCCAGACGTATTAGGCTGTGGCTCGGAGGCAGGCTGGCTGGCTGGCGAGAGAACCCCGGCAGAAGCGAGAGTTGACTCCTCGTTTTCGTGGTCTGAATCTGCACAAAACATTCAACAAATACCACCTGAGTCTACGTGACTCACAACTAAAATCCAAAATAAATAGCGCGCACTAAATTACTGAGAAAGAGGCACGACGTGAAGCGTTTCTCCAACAATTTAGTGTGCGGATGATTGCAGCTAAGAAAGAGGCACTACGTGAAGCTTATCTTAGCTTTTATTAACATTTCGTTAAAATAAATAGCGCGCGCCAAATTACCGAGAAAGAGGCACTACGTGAAGCGTATCTCCAATAATTTGGTGTGCAGATAATCTCAGCTAAGAAGGAGGCACTACGTGAAGCGTATCTCAGCATTTATTAAGTTAGAGGCACGACGTGAAGCATAACTTAATATCAGGTCAGGATAGAGGCACGACGTGAAGCTTGTCCCGACCACACACATGAATAACACATATGAAGCTTCATACATAACAAACAAGGGCCCAAAGTACTCACCACTGAAGTAAGCAGCACATACATCAGGAGTCCACTCTCCATGCCAAGGTATCATGTACTCCGC